TCTAAATGATTTATTTGTATAATGATTGTGTTATAATTGAGTAAAATCGTATTTCCCGAATTTTCCCGATTTTGGCCTTTTAATTCCCGAATTTGGGTGTTTTTACTCCCGGAAAATGGAAGCTTTATAAATGACTTACTCGACCATATTTTTATTAATAATGTTTGGTCGCTCGGGATTGAATAGGGTTAGAATTATTAGCTGTCAAATATATTGTAATTAGTTTTATAATGCAATAATATTATTTGATTAATGTATAATGATGGTTAATTCATACCAATTCTATAATATGTAAATCGTGCTGAAATTCTGTACCAAATGTTGTTAAGAATGTCTTTAGAAGTTTATAAAACTTATTGTTAAATCCTTTGAAAAAATCCAATTTAATTGTCGTTCCGTCCTATTTGTTAAATATTATATTTTTTAAAAGTTTTTAATTAATTAATAACTTAATTATTATATATTTTATAGTAAAACATATAGATTGCTTGTAAGTTTGTATTCATCATGATATTATTTATTACAAAACCATTATTACCTTAGCAAATTGCCAACATTCACTGTCAACATTATATTCCATGGGTGACTTTAATAAGCCTATTTCGATGCAGTTATATTTGACCATGGCTATTTGATCATTTAGACACTGGGAGGCAAATCCAGGCAATCGTTGCATTTTTTGCACAAAAATTCCTAAATGCATATCAAAATTCATTGCATTGAATTGAATGAGTTCTGTAGTAGTTGTGAACATCGATACCCTCTCAGAGATTGGATAATGCGATAGAAATTTCTGATCAAACAATTCGGTCATTTGTTTGCATTCAAACGGATTAAAACTATACAAATTGTTTAGTCTGTCAGCAGTTTTGCAATTGAGTATATCTATAGCCATACAACGATTGTTGGACTTATCATGTGTTATATTTGATGAACAATCATTGATGGTAATTATTGAATAATTACTTTGGGTATTTGTCGAGCTGGATATGATGGTAAATTGATCTGAGTTTGTGTAACTATTATCATCATGTTTGTTTTTAATGTTTTCTTGACTAATACTTCCACTAATAATTGTATCCATAGTTTTATTGTCATTAGTATTGCTAACACAGGAACTGATATTAACTTTTGATGACATTTTGTGATTACTTTGCTTTCGTTTCCGATTCTCTTCAATCCGATAATTTCTCATCTTTTTCTGCTCGTCATTGAGTATCCATTCCTTCAAAATTATAGTAAAATTAATATTAAAATTTTACATTAATTCCCAATCAATGAATACCTTTTTCATGCCGACAGCGAAACACTTTTTGAGCCGACATTTGTTGCATAGTCTTCGTGTGGTTTCATTGATATGGCAATTGTCGCCAAACCTACACCTGTAGATCTGAACACACATTTGTATATAGCATTTATTTGTACATAAAATTTATAATTTTAAATATAATTTAAATAAAATTACGGTCGTTTTGAGAGCATTTCGTCGAAAGAATGCTTTACACGACTGACACGTTAGGGCACAGAAATTAATGCCTAAAATATTTTAATAATTTGAATTAGTTTTATCAACCATGTTAATTTTTAATAAAATAAAATAAAAGCTATAAAAATACAATTTGCTTCAACTCCACAGACTTTACAAATTCTTGATAAGTTATCCATTTATTATTAATTGAGTATTTAGTAAATTAATACACAATAAAATTTTTAATAATTAATTTATTGAACATTTACAATAAAATATTGTAACTTTTATGTTATTTATAAGTTTGAATTATTTTAGAAGTGCACCCAATATGGTACAATTTATACAAGCCTAAGCAACACTGATAAAATAAATATCTTATTGATTATATTGATACAGTATAGAAACGTAGAAAAGTATAATACAGTATAAAAACTCTTGACTTTTCTAAGAAATGCAGTCAATATCAAATTTATAACAATTTGTGATAAATATTAATTAATATATTTATTTTCGTTAATCTTTTTTAATGTTAAAGCAACTAAATGTTGTTTAAATAAAAATACATTTTTATTACATAATTTATATACAATTGCAAACTAATTATTAGTGAAATTTCATTACTATTTTTATAAAATCTTAAACATTTATTATATTTTTATTATTTTATTATTAATTATTGTAATTAATTTTGTTATTATTACTTAATCTTATATTGAATTTACAATTATTCTAAAACAATTTAATTAAAAAAGTACTAAAAGTATACTAATACTACTACTACTAGGTAAATATTTTAACAATGTAAAATAATGAATGTGCATTTTCAGTCTAAAAGTAACGATTATTAATTATTAATTACTACACACTCTAATTATAATGTTTCACAAATATCTAACAATTCTTATAATTTTATTGTAGTTTTTATGAATAATTAGTTATGAATACAGAGATCGGTCTGAATGTCGAGAATCTCCTTAAGAAGTGGTCCAAAATTGTTTAGACTGACGGTTGTAATCATGTTTTGTTTATGCAATTTATCCAACGCCTGGACGTCTTGCATGAGATTCAATATACGTAGGAATTTGTTTCGCACATCGCTTTCGGAGCCGTATTTCATACGCAAATATCTCTGCAATAAATACACGTATAGTTGCTGTTGAAGTCTATTCAATGACAAATTAATTTAATTAAATGAGTACATAATTATAATAATCATAATTTATAGCAATCATTACACAACAACTTCTTTATGGATAATGTTTGGCCGCTCGGGATTGAAGAACAGTATGGGTACTAACTGTTAACAAATTAAAATGGTTATTTAGCACGTATTATAAATTTAAACTAGCTAATAATAAATACCAGGTTGAGTATTAAGTGATCATGGTCCAATTCATTGACCACACGTAATAGGTATTTCTTCAACACGCTATAAGTGTTTGTCTTAAAGCCTTTAAACAGATTCAAACTCAGCTTAATTGTGTCGTTATTGTCCTTGAATTGCAAAAAACATTTATTAAATGTATTATAAAATTATAAATTACTTTATGTAATAAAATGCAGCAATTAATTCACGTGTAATATACCGTTTGAAATGACCAACATTTGTTTTTAATGTCAAAAGAGACACCAATCCTGATCATTTTAACCTCGAGGCACCCATATTTGACCAGGGCGATCTGATCGTTGAGGCATATGTGTTGAAAAGCGCTGATCTTTTTAATTGAATCGACAAAATCGCTTAAATAGCTGTCAAACACTTCGACCGAGTAATTCATCAGCTCTTCCGGTGATCTGAAGAACCCGTTGACGGCGTTAGACGAGGGAATGGGAGGCGTTGTTAAGTGACTGATGGCACCCAAGAGTTCCAGAAGGCAATTGGATTCGTGTTTATTCAGATAATGTGAGTTTGCGGACAGGCTTTGAGTGGACGGTTGGGTTGACACCAACTGTAGCTTTAGTGCCGATTCTTGAGATAATTTACCGCCATTTGTGTCATTAATTTCTTGTGTAATCTCTTGTTCGCTGTCTTGAGATTGCGGTGTGTTTTCGGTAATGTCTTCGGCAAACATGGCGTTTGTTAGTCCGATGTTTAGCGGGTATGCCATCACTGGATCCGTCGGTAGGGTTTCCGACAACTCTTTGTTTGGATCAGTATTTTCGCCGAAAGTATCAATTGAGCAAAAATTGTCAATTTCTTTGATATATTCGCACAACTCTTCGTCGCCAATGAAATTGGTGTCCATTGAAGACATGATAAAGTCTTCAGCGGTTCCCGAATCGGATGATTCCCGAAGCGATGGACTCACAGACAGTGACATCGATTTGATCTCTTTATCTCTCATGAGTTTCTCCCGTTTGTGTCGATTGTCTTCAATCTGTTTGCGTCTCAATTGTCTCTCGTCTTCGTTTAGTATCCATTCCTTCGCACAAAATAATTATCATTAAAATTAATTCACAATTAAAAGCAATATTTAATTAATAAATACTTTTTTCATTCCCACAGCGAAGCACTTCTTGAGCCGACATTTTTTGCATGTCTTTCTGTTTGCGATACTTATATCGCAATTGTCTTCATATTCACAGTTAAATACCTGTTTTGTAATTATAATTATATTAATTAATAAATAGTTTAATTAATTAATTAATTACTTTTTACATACATTTATCGATTTGTTGGCATTTCTCCTAAAAAAGGCTTTACACGACTGACATGTAATTACACCGAAATTATTGCCTATAAATTGACACAAATTTTAATCATTTTTGTTAAATAAACAGCAATTAATAAAACATCAATTCAAAGGGTTATGTAATAAACAATTTTAATCATGTGCTAAATATTAAATAATAATATAAATAGTCATACCTTTAGCCCTTTCCTTACAAACTACACACACTTTTAATTTATTGAACATGTTTTTAATCCACAACTTTTATTTACGATTATGTATTACATTTAATTAAATATATAAAAATCAATCACCATGACAAAGTTAAAAATATTATCAGTCATTTTAGTGCAAAGGGAACACATGTAATACAAACATTGCTATAATATACCTTGTACTAATGTAACATTAGTAATGTTACAAAACTGGTTTGCCTTGTACAGTACGAACTAGTTTATTTGCGTTTAATAAATTATTAATGCAACTGTATTTACAAAAACACAGCGAATGGCTATTCTGTGTATTTTAGTGATAATCTTATCTATATGTCCAATGGTTAGGGCTTATGGCAGTAAACGTATTGGTTATACGCCAACTTTGAATAGTATTAATAAATTCAATCATTATTAACTTTATTTAATATAAAAACAAAAATAAATAATGGTAATAAATTATTGAATTAATGTATGAAGGCGAGAAACCGATTTCACCCCACAATCAAGAAGGCGAGGAAGCGATTCTACCCCTCGAGTGATGGACTCGTCTAAAGTTTTCGTCGATTTCATCATAACTTTTATTAGACATAAGTTTTAT